TTTTCGTCTCTGCTGTGATATCTATCGCGCCACGCTTCAGGCTCTTTCTGATTCTTTAATGTCGAGCGCTACTGCTGTCGATATTTCGAAATAGCGCGAGGACCGCGAGAGACCGCGGTGATGCCATGTAATCTCTTAACTAGGCTCATGCTCATTTATACCGCCTTAAGCTCTCGGCGATGGCGTTGTTTGACCATATAGCACTGAATCGAAAAGGACTCACTCTTGAGAGTATCGTAATACACAACTTGTAAATGTAGGGTGAAGCTAGGAGGCAATTGAGTCGGTTTGTCGCAGAGAAGGTCCTAGAAGTCGACCGTACTAGAATGATTAATTTACTGCAAATGCCTGTAAAGTTTTCCAGTCTGACTATCACTTCATTCATAGAAAGAACCTCAAAGTATGAGTGAAGAAAATATGAAACATGATTTCATAGCTATGGAAATATCTTCAATTTTAATCTTCGTATGAATAACAAAACCTAGCTTTGAGTGTTTTTTAGTTAAACAGAATCAAAAACACAGGTAACTCGAAAACGGAAACACAGGTAACACGAACTCACCAACAAAATTTGACTAATCAGCTCATCTACTATAATTAAGAAGGTGTCGGCAATATTTTGTGATACGTAGAAGTCCCATTCAGTGTAAAAATGTCTGATTTTTAGATAAAAACTCATTAAAAAAAAGCTGCTGAATAACTGCCATATCCTACCTTTCCGGAGACCAAATATGCACTACTGCTAAAATGCAGTGCCTCTTCAACCGGATTATGTGATCTGAGAATTTTCTGTTTATTATTTGTTGTTATCGGAGACGAAAATTGGAGGATATTTCGAATATACTGCAGGTACCCATCGTACGAAGTAGAGGAAGATTCTCGGCCTAGCTTAACGGCTCTGAGAAAACAGGCTCTGTCGGATGACGAATTAGTCGAGAGGCAAACCTTGAAGAATGGTACCTAGTTCGCGGGTTTTTCGCCAGGTAGCCTTGAAGGGTGTTAACGCGGACGCGCTAGCAATACGCATCCGACTGTTGTATTCACAGTTCTTAAACGTGACATGAAAAACACGTGACATGTAACGGCTTGTCATAATAAAATATTCTAAATAAAACCCATTATCGATCGTGGACAAAGATGTGTATAGCCACCGTTTTTATTGCTGACTTTCAGCTAACCTATCGGCCATTGTACTGATGTTTCAACATCGCCTAAAGAACCGACCTACCAGGGTAAGGGGCTCAATACAAATCATGTAGAGGGAATAAGCGGAAGAGATTACCCAACCATTTACCACCCTTCCAATAGGGCGGTGGGCGCACATTCGAACCTATACGATCCGATTAGTAATCAAACATGCTAGCAGGGCATTATCGCGAAGGGAGAAACATTTGCATAACATGAAGCAAAATTACTAACAACGATTTTCATGGACCTAATGATTTATCCAGTGTTATTTCACAAATAATCTGTTTTTTGGGATTGGCCATTTAAAGCTCATAGATTCTCTATCACAAGGAATTAGTACCTGTTCCTTCGTCAAAATTAAGTTACATTTAAGCTAGTCGCTGCAGGCTCTTAAAGGAACATTGCAATTTTTCAAAAACCAAAAGATTTGCTAAACACCGCAAAATTTGACTTTGAGATTTGGTGATATTTGCTAAATGGTCCCTATTTTTCCCGACCGGGAAATTTCATAAGCATTAAGTAAGTTCACCGCTTCTTTAATGTAGACGCCGTCTCGAATAGCGGAAAACCAACGGATCTGAGGATGAAGGCAAAACGTACGGTCAGTACGCCTTCTTCTAGGAGCGTTTTTCTCTAGTAGTGTTCACAGAGTATGTATATGTCGTGCACGATGACCTGATACTTTATTTAGAAGGAAATGTGAGTGTTGACTAAGTTTTTAACAGATTTGTTGGTACGATATAATTCTTTACAACATGAACGTACTGATTTACCCAGGGCAACATCCGTTTTGTTTAGCTGGAAGAGACAGTATGCAGCTCGCAAACGTAACGCAATATTATTACGACGATGAATGAAAAGCTAACCTCTTTCTAATATGCGAGGAGCGAGGGTGGAAATGAGAGGTGGATTGAAAATAAGATAACGAAATTGCCTTATAGGCAAATATATTACATCGATAGCTCTTAAAGCAAGACCGCATAGTTAGCATAGGTTGCATTGAGTGTTTTTTTTTTGGTTTTTAATTAAATTACACTATACCTTAAACGAGTGTCACCAGGACGGCGGGACTTTAAGAGCCTGGTTTGCGAGCTTTGGAGATCCTCAAACTTTAAGCTTGAATGCTACGGCCAATTATCCTTCTATCTTTAAGTCTGCTGCTAGTAGTTCTACATGCGAGATCGGTTCAATTTATTACAGAAGTAAGAAAACGTCGAAGCGAAGCCTGATGGACCCTTAGGTGTAATACATGGGGAACCTGCACACCTGCACGACTTCAGTATGGACAACAACCAAATTTGTTATTTGTCATTATTTACTATAATCAAGTGTTACTCACGGTATTCCTTTATCAAAACTACGGCCTTTCTGTTCAAATATGTATACAGGTGCCGCGCAAATCGGTGCGCCTAAAGGGTTGCCATCGTCTAGAACTGTTTACCAAGTTGTCTTATTGGCAAAGGCGGTCAGGTCGAAACGCCCACACAGTGAAGAACGTTAGTGAAAGGAAGTGTCGGCGACTGCAGATGTTTATTCTTCTTGGCCATGGTTCACACACGCAATAAGTGCAAGCAAACCCTTGAGTTCGCACGCTGACGCCGTCTTACGATGTCCTCACTGCTTCCATTGGTGCTTATCCATGCACAATAATTACGGAGTAAAAGTCATCTATGCGAATAGAAATGAAATCTGACTCAGACTTACTGGGTTTACCCATACGATAATATAGCGGTGTAATTTTTACAGACGATCGACTGATTTATTCAGGGAAACAAGCTTGCCAATGTACCATACTGTTTGACAATGATAACATAGCTAAAGAGAACATAGCAGAAACATTGCTTTACGTCTATTCAACATCAGCCAACATTCTTATAATCGAAAGCGCAATATTTACAAAACAGATTTCTAGAAGGTAGTGCACTATGGCCTTGGATTGCTACGGCAGATTTCCGGATTTCTCCAGCTTTTCTTGATCGTCGGATCTTTTACTATTTCTCCGTTTTTCTTTCAGCTTTAGCTGGCGGTGAAATAGCCTCTACAAGCGCTTTGTAGGCGAATTCTGTGTTTCGTCCCGTAGGCTAGGTAAGCACAGGAAACGCAGAAAGCAGGCCGGGTCAATCATCGTTGCACATCAACCAAACCGCTCGCGGGCCCTTTACCTTGGCCTTAAAGCCAGGCAGCCATCTTGTGCTCCTTCCTCCACTTCGACAAGCGACCAGAGCTAACGAGGACGGACTGTACACAGAAACGCAAACGCTGGCGGACAACCGAGTGAGCGAGATTCCTTTGCACGGTAGAGCCAATGAACGTTTCGGCAGCATCACTCAAACTACCTCTTTTCTGCGGACGGCTTTTGAGAGCCTCGTAGAAACCCTCCTCAGATCATCACAAATTTTGAGACAGTGTCCTTTTTTCTTCGTGTCCCGTTGTTTAGCAGCGCCTTCTCAGGCGTGTGTTACACTGTTCAACTAGTTAAAAAACAACACTCTAGTATTATTAGTAGCAGAAACAATGCAACGAACTCGACCGTATTTGTCATCTACCGGCAGCTGTACAATGAGTATCATACCTATTTTCATACATTATGTCTTCTGCATGCAATAAGTATAATATGACGCGATGCAAAGCATGCACAATACTCGCTCTATTTTTACGGCACAACAGCGGATGTTATTAACCCCGCAACTGACGTCGTAACTGACCTCAGCGTACCGCAAACAGGATGCCTTTGGCATTGGTCATCAAAGCTCGTTAATACGGAAACGAAATTTGTCTTTTGGACTGCGGCAACTTCCAGCAATAACGAATGGCTGACCCGTTCATATGTCGCCAGAACATCGTAACCGTAATATTCCGTAATCAGTTTTGTTTTGTCTCTGCAACTCAGCTGAGCACAAAAACGCCTACTGCTTCTACCGATAGCTCGTTAATATGAGATTATGTTCCCGTTTGTGCCCCGAAGCCCTGAGCCCTAACCAATAAGCAAGGGCAGCCAGCGTGCGAGAATATATTTGTCCATCGCCTCATCCTCATTTTTTATCTTGCCTTTATCGGGTACCACTTGTTCCAGGTAAACCTTTCGTATTTAAGCCCTCCCCGCAAGTAGCCCACAGGGGCTAAGTCGGCTAGCATCGGCTTTCTGTTCGCCCCGGCAGATGCGGCAGACATGCTCGTGGTGGTGCTGGGGACGGTTGCAAAGGGACGCCGGTTTGTCGATGGGCACGGCAGATACAAAAAGTGAGAAGCAATTTTTTTTCGTTACGTTTGCATGGACGGACAGACCCACCGATAGACAGCAAGCATCATTAACAGCCCTGTCGCTACTGCTGTGTTGTTAGACTAATGCGGTCGTCGGATGGAGTTCGCCCTTTGCGTTTTATTCTCTGATCTTGACTGGAATAGCAATATAAAATGCGGCGTTCACTAGAAATTTACTCAAGAGATTTAATATTAAGCTTGAAGACTGTGAAGTGAAGCACTGAATCACCGATAAATAACACATGTGCACGAATGAGGGCTTCTATTGATAGGAGGCAAATAAGCTTAAGCTGAATTTTGCCTCTAATACCTCACCTGTTGCGTTATATTGTGCAAAAGCACCATACGCACAATAGTAGAGCTAAAATACCTGTGCGATGCTAGATCAAATGTTTTGCATGACCCGTTAACGTTCTCTAAGAAAATGAAGGATTCGATTTATTAGACCAAATATATGTTTAGTTCATTTTTAGAATTAAGATGAAAGAATGAGCGGTAAACCGTTGAGTCTCTACAATCCCTGAAATATATCAGCTTGTAACTTCACTCACCTTAAGGAAAGCATCGGTCTTCATACGCGCGCACTTATTCAATGTGTTTAGCCGCCTGTAATGAACATAGTATATAAGTACCTTATCGTTGGTATGGCAGCTCTACTGCATCATCGACTATTTCTACAGTTATAATGCCGATTCGTACGCGCAACCCGCCTTACCTCCCATAATTGGCGTTTGATGACCCTCCAAAATCCTGCAATTTTTGCCTTTCGCCTTGGCTGCTGCTATTTGCTTTATGAGTACATTTTTGTTTACATCTGTCATTTGTTCTATTTTTGTATACTGTCCTATCGGAAACTTCCCGCGCCGAAGACCCAGTCGACGATGCTCGCTTTCTCACCTGAGTAAAGATTGAATCTCATCGGCGTCCAGATGGGGATGATCCTTGTACACCGTACTCATGTCAAGCGGAAAACAGTTGTCTGCAAAAAAAACAAACAGAAAATGTTCTAACGGAATTTACCAATAAATGGCTTATTATTAACTATTAGTACGCATCTAATTTTGACTATTCAGCCCTTGCGGATGTTTATAATTAATCATAAGATGTATTTCACAAGATACTATGTAATCGGTACCGTTTCCTATGATGAAGAAATAAAATTTCCACATATTTAGTTTACACATACGTATAGACTTGCTGCTTTCCTCATCCGGACTCAGCATGGTACTATAAAGGTTTACCTCAGAAAGGGAAACATGAGTTTGCTGTCATTGCTGTGGCGGGTTCGTACGTTTGTATTGAAGAATTTAAAAGATTCTCAGGAAACTTTTTATGCTCGCGCGTATTACGATTGAAACGACCTCACGACTTCAATATGTAAAAGAGCACAACAAGACCCCACTCATTACTGATGCAAATAGGATCTGATAGAATAGCGTTTGCCTTTAGCAGTTAACCAATATTTGTACTGTTTGTTTTTTTACGATCCGTTTTAGAAGCCTTATCACGCTTATTGGGCTCTATGCAAATTTGCTCACGGTGCACAGCTGCGTTTGATCTGCACTTCAGGCCTGCAGGAAAACCGTAGGGTTTGAGGCGCAAAGAACAGAATGGTAAACATATCAGTTGAAAGTTTTAGATTAGTCTCGGATGCATTCACGATACCTTACTTTAGCTAGAAAAAGGAGAAGCGACACGAATGCGCTGGAAAAAATTGAAGGATTTATCATAGGGAGGTTATCGCAAAAGAGAATGCAACAGACCGCATAAAAGTAAATTAGATAAAAATCAAAGTTAATTTTGTTTTATCATTGTGTGGGTAATCGAAGGTAATAACATGATTGATTAGACGAACGCGTGTGACTGCAACAGAACCGTGCCAAGGACGTCTTTTGTTATCCGAATTAACAAAGCGTTTTTGCTATAATCACATCTTTGTGTGGTTAGAAAAAAATAACAAATTCGTGTTTTAGCGTAATGATACATACTTTCTATGGAATATCTTTCTGTCTCATTGGCTCTGTGACCTGACAACGCTTACCAACTTAGCTTGATGTATATGATACGCGGTCATTGTACGCAAGTGTCAAACCCTCTTCTTATATACCTACTTCAATGTTTGTCACTAATCTAACTAGTACCTATACGCCATTAATCGGAAAAAAAAAAATATAGAAAAGTTTACGTACTCACCCTCATACATCTGAACGTATTGAGGAAAGCCAGTTTGTCTCAGCCATTCCAAAGCCTGAACGGCTTCCGCCTCTGTCAAACGCACAAACGCCAGTAGTTTAATATGTGAACTTTTATTATGTGAAGTTCAGCGACGAACAACACAGTTAGTCCTTTACAAACAGGTAACACACTTCATAACATGTCGTCGCTGTTATCCAACGTAACAAACTTATTTTGAAGATACATCGCAGTTGGACGCTTTACATCATTAATAGTACACGGAGAAAGTGCGCATGCGTACAGTGTGTTTTTTTTTTTTTTTATCTCCCACTCGAAGGCTACTCCCCCAAAATGTCTAGAAAAGAAACACCTCAAAATCAAAACAAAATACAGAAAGCATCGGCACTGTGTTCCATAGACTAAACCAGTTACGTGTAGCATGCAATCACTATAGCACATTTAGTCTATGCGGAGCAGTCACTATCCTTCGTTGTGCTGAAAACACGACATGCTATAATTTCGTATTATTTATCGTATTCTAATGTTAAGCCTATTATAACACTAAGTAACTAAACACTCGAAGCTCTTCCACTGTCAACAGGCTTTTGGGTAGCCGTTGAAATCTTATATATGTACATACAGGCTTACGTAGATGTTTAAAACATCACCGTTCATAAATTTAGGTAATGGTACACATTTAGCCGCTAGCTCGCAGCATGATATCATAGTGAAACCACTTCATAGCTACTTCCATTTATTGGGTCCTTTCATCAACCGGTTTTGTAGCTGTCAGGTCAACAATCGGCAAGATGTTGAGATTGTTGCTTGTTAACTATATCATTCAATGCAAATCGTCACATTTTTATCGACACCACAAAACAGCTTCACGTATTTTTCCATACGACAACAGCGACAGCCATATCTAGTTCGAGCTTCTTAGGATGTCGGAGTGTTGTCTTTGCTAAGGTCTCTTCTCTTTATGTTTCGAGTTTCACGGCCGGCGTCGCCGCTTGGCATTCCATCAGACGGCTGCTTCCCAGCATGAAACAAGGGATGTCTATGTCCGGACTCGAACCTGTCACTGAAATTAACGGGCAAAATAGGTTGCTCACTAGGCTGTTGCGGGTTTCAGTTCAAAACCGGGCCTCGGAGTGGCTTCCGTTAGCCACGAACACGACCCGCAGTATCCGACTGTTCTCATCTTGTAGTCACCCCAGGTCTTTCCTGTTTTTCCCTGCCTATCTCTGAGGTTGCTTACTCCAGAACCGCTTTCAGAAGATCGTACATTACCAGCAAAAAAATACTTTGGAACGCAGAACCTCGTAAAATATAGGCAAGACAGAACCTTTGCTATTGTTACTGCTGCTTTAAATGCACCCGCAAAGTGCCGCCCTTTGTACTCTATAACTAGTACCGCCTTGTTCCGTAAAGTAGTTTGATGTTTAGAAATTCGTGGACGCGCTCGAACCGGCTTGACAACTAGAAGACGCTACTGTGATTGACGAAAATAGTATCTTCTAAAATAAGCAAGCTCACTTCGCTGGTGTCGCAAAGAATTGCCTCGGTTGGCCTGATTTTTTTCATTCATTGTAAAATATGATCCGTCCTGTAGAGGATACGTACATATTCTAGCGGATTAGCCGATTTCGACAATAAGCGGTAACGGTCTTTCCAACGACTTGTTGATTAGCGTAGATACGCCCATATTATGAATGTATGTATGTATGTGGGCGGACTGGGTGCGATGATCAGTTCCGTTTCGAGAAAATTTAGAGAATCTGGAGAAGTTTTTTTCATTAAATGTTTAATTAGCTGGGTTGCTGACAGGGCTGATTGATGATAGGTGTTCAGCACCAACAGCTATTATTACAAAAAGTATTAACCTCTTTAGTGTGTCACTTAACACTATGAACATTTTATGAATATAAAATGACCTATTATCTTATTCGTGTGGACCAAACAGTAGGAAAATGGCACTTGCTTTCGTTGAACCTACCGTTCATTTTGTTTGTATTCATTATATATATATATATATATATATATATATATATATATATATGAATTCATGCTTCAGTAGAATGTTGCTTGATGGCAGCGGTGCGGTTCAAAGGAATATCAACTACTCAATGCGCCACCTCATGAAAAATCTGCAAAACCTTGGGTTTTAACGCCATCCATCCTGCTAAATAGCTGGAGGAAATGATACGGTTAGCCATAGGCAATAGCCACTGAGCGAATAAGCTGTACGACGTGTTAGACTATATCTACGTAGCCCAGCTGGTGATTTCTGTGTTCCCATAATGTTTTCGGCAGGCATTTTTATGATGAGTACTACTGTTAGCAAGCTTGTCCTTAAATCCCTGTCACGTGTTAGTCTCTCTTACTTTGCGATGATACCATACCTGCGCGATCGCTCCTTACGCCCTGACTCTCCGCACTATTGCCGGAATAGCCCATTGTTTTTGGTTACTTGACGTAGTTCGTTTATATATATATGATTATTTATCTTTACCTTTATCAGGTATTTCTTATGGAAACAACACGAGTATTTGATTTTTTTCGAAATTGTTAGAAACGAAAGAGATATATGGCATAGACCGCAAATACTTCACTGCACCATATACGATAGGCAAAAAAAACTGGGTTGACCCCAGCCATATGTTGCTTCCGATAAACTTCTGCTTGGTGGAGATTCCCACCAAATAGCGATGTATGCGTTAGCAAATACATATAGCGGTTATAGCAATTTAGTACCCTTTTGATAAAAACAAGTTTTACCTGGTTCTGCCAGGCTACATATTTGGGCTATGTTGAAGTTCTCCCAAATTAGTTGGAAACTACGAACTTGATATAAAAAAGGGGGTATCGTTGTATTCAGGGGCAGCAGCAGCGGTTCTTCTATCAAAAATGCTTCACGTATTCCAGCGGCGAAATATATAACCAGAGAGTGTAATTTGGTGCTATTGGTCCTACTCTTTCAAACTTCATCTTCTTACCCAAGCTTACCCCTAGGCCGGTTACGTTCTGGAATATATATATTATGCCACATTTCACATGTTATTAACAATGAAGATAAAAAACCATTGATAGTAACTCGTGAAGCAACAGCTCTTTTAATTGTCTTTTTCGTTTCTAATATTTAAGGTGCTGTATATACGTGTTATATATACATGCTGCTATAGGCTGGTTACGGTGCTAATCATACGCTCGATTCGAATCATCGGTGTTATTTTCAAAAATGGTCCACTTAAACAACAAGTTCCGCTTCAATTAATTGTGAACTATCCTTGAGTCTCACTCAAATGACTCTACTTACTAAATTATACAGATGATTTTCGTATTTCTCTGTATGGCCCCTTATGATGCGTGTACGTTTATTATGCTAATAAGACCACCTTACATGCCGGATCCCACTTTCAGCTCTCCTAGCGTTTTCGCAGGGTTTCATGAATTCCAGTACTTCACACTGAATGCTTGATATATTAATGTCATCTTGGTTCGCGCTGCGTTTGCCGTCTTCATGACAATAAACTGCTGATGATTCTATTATTATCCTCTGAAGTCGCTATAGGTAACCTTTACAGCGATCCAGCATGCAGTATCTGTATAAATCTCTATCTTACAGCTGTCTACTTACAGCTCTAACATCCGACTGGCCAAAGTTTCGTTTCTTCGCTTTTGCCCAGGATTACCTATCGTCTTGCCTTGCCAGGACAAGGAAGCGTTTGATGCACCCCGAATTCTACCGTTTCTAAAGATGAAAGCCGCTCTTGTGCATGTCTCTCGTACAATTTCGTAGAAAACGCACCGCTTTATCTTTAGCTGGGCTCTTTTTTTCCTCATCGTGTTCTCATTTTGCGATTTCCGATAGCACATCTATCGAATCATCCTGTGTCCTAAAGAAAAATCAAAAGATGCTTCATCGGTTGCACGGCTGAGCTGTCAGCAAACTTGAACCCTAAATACGAGCGGCACTTTGCCATCAAAAAAAAAAGTCTACGTACGCACTCACCAAAAAAAGGACGTTTTTGGCAACATCTTTGAGCAACTATATTTTGAACTCAGCCAATGCCTATTCAAGAAGCCCGTATTCGATAGTCTTCAATATAGCGTTCTGGGTATCCCATTTAAGTGATACCATCCACTCAAACGCAAGGTCTTCACTGACTGGTTAATTAGAATTAAAAAGGAATGGCATGGAAAGTACATGGTCGGGACGCTGAGTAGCTTGGATGGTAACCTGAGGATCTAAAACAGGCCAACTGCTAGAAAGCAGAATTAGCATAATATATTTGACAGTGTTAGTATAGACTAGGGGCTAACGACACGAAAGAAGAAAAAGAGATAGAAGCTTGAGAAGCTAGGGCCACGGATGTCAAAAACAACAACGAGAGTCTCGGAAAATAAATACGAGGAGTAATACAATGGATGAAGGCCAATGGATACGATAGGCTTCTGATTACATTGTTATACTACGTTAGCCTATTACGATATGGCACTCGACTCGTTGTGCTCTGAAAAAGTCTGCATTTCAATAGAAGCTCTGTGCGCAACGCAGATCCGAAGATGGTATTATTATTATTATATAAAATCGTTTTTGACAACGTTGTTTAATGCGTGGGGAGCCGCACCCACAGCCGCGAATTCACGAGCTAGTTAATCAGGAGAGACTCACTAACTTCAATCGGAATGTTTAATCTGTTCTGCTACGAAAAATATTACAGTGTGAGAATATAAAAATAGACGATATACTCGATCCAGAATAAATATTAGTCGTGAAGATCTGTCCCTTTATTTACAGCTTCTACCCTCTCACAAGTAAACAAGTGAATTTTATCATAGCTAATTAACGCAGCAACGCTGTTAATTTAACCGTTGCATTGGCAAAACATTCGCGCCAATCTGGTGAATAGATAGACCGATAAGGCGTCTTCAAACAATCCTTGCGCGGCACACGGAGCTTGCCTCGAATTGTTTCAGTGATGATCTCTATGCCATTTACAAGAAGGCGATGCTTACCCTCATTGGAGTTTAATAAAAGAAGGCCAAAGGAAGTGCTGCGACATGGAAATGAGAATGTAGATTGCCCA